TGGAAAGCCAAGGCAAATATTATTCTTTGTAATCCTAGAGAAATTTTACCATAGATTTATCATGACTAATATATTAATGTTCTTCATGTTTGTTGATTGACTTTAGTTCTCTACAATATTTTCACAATACCATTTTCCGTGACTCTGAATTTTTTGTACCCCAACTCTGTCACAACTGTATTTATCACTTGTGTTGAAATATCATCATATTTCACTTTCTTGCTCTCTCCCTACTTGTTAACAATCTTCAATATATAACTTCGTTGAATTCTTTCATTCTAAGTTGTTATGTATTTGTAGTTCTGTTTACTGAAGTCTCTTGCTAAATCAGCAATAACTGTAAATTCTGGTGGCTCTGTTTGTTTTTGTTCTGCGTTCATCGTTCTCATTTTTAATTCCCATGCATGGCATGTTCTTAGTATTCTTCCTCGCTTTCGCTTTTGCTTTCGCCATCGTCTTCATATTCGCTTTAGCATTCGCTTTCGCCATCGTCGTCATGCTCGCATCTTCATCGCTTTCGCATTCGCGTTCATCATTATTTTCATCATCGCTTTCGTCATTGTCGTCAATAACAAATATGTTGTTCAACTTTTGTATTGCTTCTTCACGTAATTTAACTTCGAGATAATTTTCTCTCTCTTCTCCTTGTAGTTTTTTCATTTCACACACTAACAAGTGGTCATCATCGCGAACAACACTGTAACACACCACAAACTTTTGTTTCAGATGATAATTCACCAACTTCTGTATGATCGAATTGGATTTTGGCGAGTTCTTTCTTCTTGCTTGCTAATCGGTCTGTATATTTGCTAGTTAATATTCATGATTTTATTCATACATTGCGCTGCTATTTCCAAAAGACATTTTGTAAGATAAGTTATTTTCTTGCCCAACTACCCATATATAAGACATGTATGGTGAGTTGGTGGGTGCTGACTTAGAAACTTACTTATGCTTAAACCTCTGTTAATTGGAACATGCCCCCTAAGTTATACAGCAGTTTACCTTGCAACTAACCATAACTAACTATCTCGCCACTGTTTCAAATCTGTAAATTAGATAAGTATAGGCGTACAAGTTTTGACCTAATCATGTAGTTGGAAAATCGATAAGATTCTGGTTAGTTGAACAGATAGGCTGTGAAAATGTAAGTTTATGTGTTCGGGCAGTGAACATGAATTAACGAATGAAACACAACAAAACCGTGAATTTTCAATATCACTGTCATTTATGCATTTTTCACCGCATAGGAAATCTTAATATACCTGCTATTTGGTGCAATCTTTATTTAATTTACATTTGTCCAATGCTTTATCAGTTCAGTACTCTCGTTTTCAAGTTTGCTCAGGCGGCTACATATATAAGAACTATTCATATTTTTGAACCATTTCTGATGGTAAATACTTGTAAAGACTAAGTGAATTATACCTTTCCATATCTTTCCATATTCTTGCTCATCTGTTTGGTAAAACAAGCATGTTTGAGCATATTTGTCGTTGTGGTGATTAAACCCGAAACACTGAACCTCATAACCCAAACCCTAAATCCCAAACCAGAAACCTTGCGCGCACCCGTGTGCTCACCCTGAGCGCACCCGAGTATTGCAGTGTACCTAGAAAGCCAAGTCATACCTGTTGTCATTCTGTGTTGATTGAACCCGAAACTCTAAACTTTAAACCCAGACCCTAAACCCACAACTCCAACCAGTAGGGAACGACATTCTCTGAAAATCTGACAACGATCGAAATTTCGGGCGATCGCCAAATCGAAGGCAATTGCTAGATCGGAGCTGCTCTAAAGAACGAGGAGACTGATCCCTTAATTCAAGCCAACCTAGGCATTAGTTGAAGCAGAAATGTAACAAACACATACATATACATAAACATACAGACACCGATATGAATACAGAGAAAGATATGGTATCAGTGAATCAGACATAGACAGAAATAACGATATAGACACTGATATAGACCTAGACATACAGCAGACATGGGTGTAGATGGATATCTAGATGTAGATGACAATACATATATGCATACACACGTATAGTTACAGATACAGATATAGATACAGATATGGATGATATGGATATAGATCTAGATACAGATATTGACATAGATATAGAATATGGACTAGACAGAGATAGCGATAGAGACTGACAGAGATCCAGATATACATATACTTACATATATCTAGATATACAGATACTAACCAAACATCGATCATAGACCATATGCACACACATGCATAGGTTTCTCGGGAACGTGTCAATCAGATTTCCTGAATCCTGGCATGCAGACACAATAGATGTACAGAAGAGGAGGCTGTGGGGCCTAGATGACTTCTAGACGCACGTTCTTCTGCCAAACCTGCAAACTGCAACACACATTGCATTTGGAGCTCGCCAAAATCTCTGGAATCAACATGGAGAATACTCGTTTGCTTCATGTTGTCTTTTCTCGGGGTGCCTTACCCAGCAGACGGGTGCTCTGCAATAGCTACAATTGGGGGCCAGCCAACCCAGAAGATTCTTTTTCGCACGACGCCCCATGACACCCTCTCTGGAAGTTTTGCAGACCAGAGCAGGGCTATCTTGCGTGCAGGCACAAACGGCGACCATTGCACAGCCGATCCGTACTTACACGCTGACTTATGCTGTAGACCATGCTGCGTTCGACAGAATGACCCTTGAATCCTTCCTTAGACAGCAGATACCTCCAAAAGCAGCAGGAACCAAAACACCACGAAGCGACCAGGACAGAAAGACACATAGCCAAGAAGCGAAGAGGCAAGAAACCAAACAGCATTGAAGCTCCATGAGGTGAGAAAGCCAGCAAGCGCACGAGGAACCAGACCGGACAGGCGTATCGAACACGGGAAACAACCACATGATGCCGTAAAACCAAAACAGCCACAAGCCAGAAAGCATCAAAGAAGAATGCTAGCAAGCCAAAAAACAGTCCTATAGCCAGGAAGCCGCAAAGCCGCAAGCCTAGCGAGAATTTCAAGCACCAAAGCGAAGAAGCCACCCGCATCCCCGCCAAAACGGGCCTCGCAAACGTGGTCATCGCCTCCGAGAGAATTCAGTCGACCTGAACGTCCGACTGAAGCAGTCAGAGGTGACTGTGGAAGCTTTGCAGAGCGCACCTTGAAGGCCATTGATGTACGAACACAGCTCAGCCATGGTCTGCAAGGTGTCGAGTGGGCCGAGACAGGGTCACGACGAGTCTGTTGCCTGGTCCACCACTCCCTGAGGATAGCAGGCGCTGAACCGCCCGGTACCTCGGTATGAGAACAAAGCGTCTGCACCTGCCATCCTTTGACGCAGAACTCCGACGTCAGAATGGCCGACATGTTTTGTCATGTGGCCGATCAGTCAAGTTCGCTCGCAGGGACATAGCCCATACCGGGCCTCATCTATGATGCCTGCATTAGATTCTTTGTGGCGGCCTTGTGGTTCGTGTCATCTCAAGCGGTAGGCCCTGATGATGTACGGTCTCACGGGCTCTGAATTTGCATGAGTTTCGCGGAAAACGAACGCTGACAGCTTAGATTTCGATGTCGTATTCATCAGCGCATTGTGTCTTATGAGACTGAGTCGCCCGCATGTTATGAGCCTCGGCATTGCAGAAGCTTGCCAACACAGATGACTGCAGTCTAAGAAAGAGGCACTGAGCTCGCAGCCTGATCGCCTCGATTTTCGACAGTAGAATTTGTGCCAATCGAGACACCTGCCTGGAAGACTTCACGTTGCCACCGCCCAGGACACGACGTTACACGCTCAGAGGTGATAACAAGCCGGAGTTGCTCTCCAACCTCCTCCTGCGCGACTGCCAGGACAACCTGGTTCATGCCGCTGAAAGCCACAAAAACAGGTATCCTTGACAGCAGCGCGCCTTCACCGACAGAGGCACTATCGAACTTTCCACGTACCTGAAGATAAGTTTTGACGCCTGTCGGTTTTCTCGACATTCTCGAGTACGCCTGCGACCTGGTACCTAGACTGGTGAGGGCGCAATGGAGCTTGGCCGAAACGATGCTTTCTAACACAGGCACCTTCCTCGAGACCTTGCAAGTGAAGCTTGTCTGTCGAGTCCAAAAAGCATAGCCGCATGGCAGTACCACAACCATACACCACGGTGAAGGCCTATGGGTGGACAGTACCACGGAGCCAGACCAGGGAGGGAGCTCAATTCCTCACAAAACAAGCATGCGATCACTCCAGCCGGTCCACGGCAGCAGAACTTCCATTGCAGATACGATCTCCTGTGAATTCCATGGCGGTTGCGCCGCAGCGATGATGGCCCAGATCCACGCAAGGCTGCACCTCCGTTCAACTCCAAGCGGCCAAGCCACATCACGGCAACTACATGGAGCAAGCGACCAGTTTACATCAGACTTGGGCTCCAAGCCTCAACGAGAATGGGATCGGAACAACCATCCAAAACTGCACCCAGCATTAAGGCAGCTATGTTGAGCGCTGGAGCTGAGCATATAAGGGAGATTATAAGGGATTCTCTCAACTTGTGCTTCGCCTGGCAAAATTCCGGGAGCATGCTGGCGGAAGCCTTTCGATTCTGAGCCCAGGGACAGGATGCGACAAGCTAGGACCGCCGCAACGACAGTGAGCACAAAACGGTTCAATTTTGCTTTATCTAGACTAAACATGAAAACCCCCTCTACATCCAAGCACTGCAAGCTAGGCCGCACTGCAACGTTGTCTTCTCTGCTGACAGTCCACATGTCTGTTGTCGACTCTGGTTCTCCGACGGCTCTTGCGTGCAATGGGCCCAATGCAGACCATTACACTGTCGCGAGCTTGTGTTAAGTAAGTACTTTCCCATTCTTGCTACGTCGGGCCAGTCGCTTTGGCATGCAAGAGAGAAACTATGTACAAATTGCAATCCTGACTACATTAGTCGGATCGCATGAGTCGCAGGAGATACACTCCATCTTTCAACAATACTGCCTGCACGCCATCTTGCACTTTGGGTGCTGTATCAGCGCTGAAACCTTCAAGGCAAGCAGCTCGCCAAATCGGAAGACTCCCCGTCCACGTGCAGTTGCAAGCAAGGCCAACAAAGCCAGGAGAGCATGCGGACTTTCTCCGACACGCCACCCTTGATGCCCCGAACCTGATCTCCCATGCAGATCCACGAACTCACTAATGCATTTTAGAGCCGCTTTGATGATTGGATATTGAAAACAGGACCTTCTAAGATTCAAGCGCTGGCTGACATGTCCCAAGCCTGGCTGTCCTTTCCACGAGTCAGCAGAAAGGACTGTGACTGCTTGGAGGCCTCCAGCGCACAACAAACCAGAAGGCTGTGATGTCCTTCGGCGCGTTCTCAAAGACCACCTTCAATAGAATAATTTGCAGGAGAGGGTCTATGCCTGGAGACCTAGTCCATTTTATGCAATGCCCGGCTGTGTTAAGATAGAGCCATCCCTCGGACGGGCAAAGCAAATGGTTGCGGCAGGAGTATTGGGGTTCGATTTCCGAAGGATCTACTCAACCCAGTTCAGTACACTGCGAGTCAACTTATCGCGGTGGTTCTTCCCACTCCGAGCGTTCATCCCACTGCCTTCCAGAAACCTGGTAATCGATATCGCATTGGCGATGCCCGAAGCCAAGTCGCCCATGTTTCCAGCGTGGATTACAGGCCCACGTGCCTGTCATGCGACCTCTTGCCCTGTCCGTACTGGTAAATGGCTAGACTCTGGACTTGCTTGTCGAAATTTCTTGCCATCAATTCTCAACTTGCAGAGTGCACTCGTGTCTTCGAAGCCGTGCCGGATGGACTCCGCAAGCTGACAGACAATTGTCCCACACAAGACATTAGAACCTGCCCCTCTGCACATCATTCAACTGCACTCTTGAACAACATTCAATATTCAGCATGCAGCATGTGGCTCATGAAACCATCTGCCAATGCGCAACACAGTCTACCTGAAGAGAAGCTGAATCCCACACAAAACGTGCAAACCAGCCGCCGCATCCTTTGACACGACTGCGGCCTCCGTTTGCCTGGTGTGAATGGAACCTGCCGCTGTCGCCTCTTCCAATCCTGTGCTCGTGACCAACGAAAAGCTACATCATGCTACTGGTACAACGAAGCTGCAATCCTCGCCTGCAGCCGGTCTCCCGGCTTCAAGGCTGACCTGTCAAGTCAAGTAGCTGCAGGAATGGCGCGTACTCTCTGTATAGCTCTGCCCAAAATACCTTCGTCCCCAAGGCGCCATGCTATGCTCCTTCTGGGTGACCGAAAGACTGAATGCTGCAGTGCAGGCAGCAAAAACAAGAATTCGCATGGACGTGCGAATACAAGCAGCCCCGAACTGGAGAAAGGATCAATCCGAATGGGGGCCACGGAGGATGCCCGAGCCCTCCTGGAGGACGCTGGAAGAATGCGTGATGGGGGGGTGAGGGCGGGGCGAAAGGGGTAGAGGCAGGACACACTCAAATTTCCGCTCTCTATCCAAGAAACACCACGTTGTGCTTTCAGAGGAGTGTCAGTTTCTGCATGCATGAGTCGGTAAGCAGGCATGTCCAGCTAGACACAAGCGAATATTATTCGCTGTTGCACAACACTGGGACATGTATCTGGTTGCTCCCCTCGACCACGTTGTTTTTGTCTGGCAAGTTGCCACTAAAAAGCAATACAGTAGGCATCTTCAGTTTCAGGTGAAATCGACTCCAGTGACCAGTGACTCTGTGCAGAAAAAGATTTCTGTAGGTGAAACTGTCTGCAGAGCCTTTTGGAGCTGCCCGGCCCTCCAGGGGGAGTGCGGAGTAACTCTTCATCGGCCTTCTGGCTATCTCAAACCTCAAGCATCCTCAAACTCACAGAGAAAAGGACGGCAGCCTCGGTCTCCTGTGTAGAGATTTGACCTGTCACTGCCAAAACGCAAGAATAAGTTCCTGGTGTAAGAGCAAAGCTTTTCATAAGCGGTCACCCACCTTCAGGGCTGTCGGGGCTCTGCGGAGGCACGTTTGGCCAAAAGTAGTAAACCAATCCAAGCACCTCTGACAAGATCGCAGATGAGGCGCCCCAAGCAGAAAGCAAAGGTTCCCGGCTAGTACGAGACCAGTGCCAAGTTTGAGCACCTGCGCTCTCTCCTGTACAAGGCCAACACCAACAGCCAAAGCTTCCCATCAAGGAGCACGTCAAGTCTAAATTATTGCTTGCTGGACATCTGCCGTCTGTAGTTGGTCGTTCGAAGAAAAATCCAACAATTTGGAATTTGGAACTTGGAGCCAAATCACACAGATTGGGGCTGATGGATTGCGATCCTAAACTTCCAGTCCAAGTCGGCACAGACCACCCACCCAGCTTTTGACACAAAAAGCTGCCGTCGATGTTCGAAACGTGTCGAAGCTTGGGATCTAAACCTACCTCTCAGTTGTGATGCAATACGACAAGTATTGGACAAGTTCTCGCCCACAGCATGCCTTGTGCGCTCACTCCTCCCTCGTCTTTCGCCTCCCTCGCCCCATCCTTTCTCGCCCCTCCGCTGCACCTCTTATTCGAGAGCACATCTTCCTATTTCAAGGGGCGATTGGGGCATCGTCAGGCTTGGGGCTGCAATGAAACGAAAGAATTGCTCGACAAGTGCTGGTTCGTGGCCTCCGAAATTCGTGAAAAGTAGCTGCCACCTGGAGGAGTGCCAAAACATGCACTCAGGGAACTTGTTGACATCCAGCGTTGGCGTGGCCTGCTTCCCGGTCTTGATGCCGACTTGACTCTTTGGCCTTAGTCTTGGGACGGTCGCCATTTCACTCCAGACCGGCGTACGCAGTACCTCCGGCGTGGTTTGCCGCTCTTCTCCTGCTTACAGAAAAGCTTGGCAATTCGTGCGACCTTGCCTCTTGCTGAATGACTCGACTGCCTGCACTCGCTTTGGGCGAAGAGGCTTCGTGGGGTTTAGTCCCTCGCGGATCACAGGCATGCCCAGAAAGGCCGTCACGAGAAAGTCGCAGAGCCCAGACACGCCTCCATGCGCAGATTCGAGATCTTCTGCAGCCGGCTCTTGCGAGGTTGCCCTGGGAGCGCGTGATGTCAGCGACTCTGCTACGTTGCTGGTCGCATCCTGCCGTTGATATCTTTGACAGATCTGCGATTGATTTTCTTCGGGACATGTGGCTTTCATGGCTGGCGAAAGAAACGTGCGAGATGCCATGCGCACAGCTTTGGCGCATGTTCGATTGGCAGGAAGGCTACCTGTTCCCTCTCCGTGACACTCTCTCGCAGCTTGGACATCACTGGGGAATGCGAACAGAAGGGTCTAGTTATCCGACACAGCTTCAAACTGGAACTCAGACTCTTGACTGCCGCACACCTGGAAGGGCTCCCCGCGGTTTGCACCTGCCAGTGCTTCGTATCGACCACTTTGTGAACAAAGCTGAGCCATCCACCTCTCGCAGCTTTAGGGCGGCAAGCCTTCAAGGCATGAGAAGCCAAGCACAAGCTTGCCGATGCGCGAATCACGGCCCTGCACCGGGATCCATGCCCGCACAAGCACAGTGCACTGCTGACGGCCAGCTTGGTGTAGCCTTTCCGCTGACGACAGCCATGCATGGCCGAATAGCTGAGGATGCAAGCAGGCGTTGGTTTTCGATAAGTGGAGAACCGAATCAAATCCCGAAAAGTCAATAAATCGAAAATTCTCGACTTTTCGGCTGTGCATGTTTACCTGCGCGGTTTAAACGTTGCGGTACTTTTCGAGTTTGTCTGCGGTTTCGACTTTTGCTTTCTCTACGCTTTTCCCACTTTTCGCTTTTGGGAACTATTCTTTGCTTTTCCCCTCTTCGGGCTTTGCTGCGTTTCGACTTTTCGCATTCTTCTGCGCTTGTCGACCTTTTCGACACTTCTCCGGTCTTTCTGCGATCGACTTTTCGGGTCTTTAAGAGCGTTTCAGTACTTTGTGGACTTTTCGCGCATTGCTGCGCTTATCGATCTTAATTTGCGGCTGTAGTGGACGGCCTGTGTCAGTGTAGGTCGGACTTGGGCTGGGCTACGGGGTCCGCCAGAGGCAGCCAAAACACTGGTAATTTGCTCGGGCCCTGGGAGGCCGCTCAATTGCATAGTTTAGATCAGGATGCGTTTTCCATCTGACTCTTGCAAAGCATCCAGAAGTAGCAGAAACAAAGGCTTGTTTCTATGGTGCAAATTTCAGTGATTTGGCATCCTCAAAGCTCACTTGAACGGAGCCGGAGCACATTTCGGGTTTGGGGGACCCAAAATGGCAACTTTCAGTGAGTCTTGAGCATGTCGCGTGCCCGCAAGCACCAATGTGTTCGCGCCAAATTCCAATGATGTTTGCTCATTTGGGATTAATGGCAACTTTGAGTGGTTTCTTACCATCTCGTGGTTCCACCAAAAAGTAAACAATGCATTGGCATTTGAGCCTACCCTCCGGGTCTAGGAGCCACCAAATGGCAAATTTTGCTAAGTGTGAAGCCATGCCGGGTTTCATCCAAGCGGCACTAAGTATCCAAAGCATTGGATGGCTTTGGCTGGGGCTTTCGGGTCAAGCGAACTTGCCGGAAACGCTATCCCAGTGATGTTTGACCAGACTTGCTGAGATTTGCTGAAGCTTCGCCTTCTGCGGCGGTTATGTGTTTTTTTTTTCCGCGCTCGATGGTTTTCGATATCTCGACTTTCTGACTGTTCGTCTTCATTGTAATTTTCGACTGTTCACTTGTTGTTGTACTTCTCGACTTGTACATTAGAATTTTCGCGGCTTACTGTACGTTTTGTTACTTTTGCTTGTCGTTGCGTTTAGACTTGTACCTTCTTTCTGTGTATGCTCGACTGCTCGCGGCTTTTCGATTCTTCGACTCACCGTTTCCCCCTACATTGACCTCCGCAGCTGTTCTTTACAAACACAAGATTTTTCACTGCGGCTTTTTGGCCCATCGATGTGCGATGCCACATGCGCCTCGAGCGCCGGCCTAAACCAAGCTAACTGCGAAACGGATGGCATCCGACACGACCTTTCGGACAAACGCGATCCATGAACCTAAACCACCAACAACCCTACAAGTGGTATGAAGGGGATTTACGAACCGCAAAAGATCAACCTGTCTAACTTTCGCCTTTTCGGGTTTTCTGCTTTTTCGCGCAAAAATCATTATCCAATGCCACGTTTCGCCTTTTCGCGCGCTGTTTGGCCTTCTTTGCTTATCCGCGCCCACAGCCATTCGCAAACACAGGGATCCCTGCCTACATGGCGAATCATCTAAAGACACTACACCGACTGTACAGAGAGTATGCGCGATATTGCAATACTGGCGCAGAAAAAGTTCCAAGGGCCAAGCAAGTCGGCATCTCTCCCTGTGTGCACAAAGTTGTTATCAATCAGGGGCTGCGGCGTCCTGTGTCGCCACGTCCTGCGCTATTCCGCCTTCCCTGAGCGCAGCACCAAAACCCGCATGAGTGAAGTCCCACGAAATTCGATTGTGATGGTTCCAGGGCTCGTGCTGTCTGGCTAGTGGCCACTGCCGCCATGATTTCACCGTGTGGTGTCTGGCAGAATCGCACACGACGGCAAGAAACATCAGCATCGAACATGTGTTGGTGTGTACATGTAGATCAAGGCCAAGTTGAAGATCAAGGTCAAAACCAACACCCGATGTCAGTATCGCAGTCATTTATGAAAGGACATTAGGTATTCAGGTTTGCTGCTGCCACAATCCCAGACTTTTGCACCTGCGTTCGCAGTTCTCCCTTTTGTCGTAGACTGCCGCGGCATATGCGCTCCCTCATACCTAGACAGTCAGGTATTCAGGTTTGTTACTGCCACAACCCGAGACTTTTGCACATGCGTTCTCAGTTGTCCCGTTTGTCGTAGACTGCCACTGCTTTTGCCTCCGCCCACCTTTTCCATCCAGCACAGCATGTGTCATTCAATCGTCGTCAAAAGGAGAAAACCACCGCTGCATCGGCGTCAGCTCGGCCACGAGCAGCCCGGCAGGGGAACTGTAACTGCCTTTTTCTGGCACAGGGGCGGAGGAGGTGAAAGAACTGCATGGCAGAGACTTCTTGGATACATCTCTCCATGGTCCGGCTGTTAAGCCATCTGCCCCGGCTTCGTGCCAGCTCATAGTCCTCAATTACTTGTAAGAGCCAGTTGGCTCCGCCTGCGCGCAGCGAGCCAAGATCGAGCTTCTTGGCTCTGTGCCCGGTCCAGAAATTGATGGCATCGAACCTGCTCCGCACAGTCGAGTGCTAGTAAGGCCAAAGTTCGCAGCTGATTTCCCAGTGACCAAAGCAAGCCGAACGACAACCGGCAAATCCGGCTGATCCAATTTCACGGATTGATGGCGAGCAGACTTGAAGCGCGTCTTGGGCTCCTGAATCGACACCAAGCAGACATGAATGTGGTGTCTGCGCATCACAGCGCCCCACGTCAATGCAAGCATCCCAGCAACTCGGGGCCGTCCCAAACCAACGCAGTCGAAATCGCAGCCAAAAGAATCTGCCACGGCAGCTCAACGTGGTGAGAGTGAGGTTCCTCCCTCAACCAGCTTCATGTTAAATCCCAAGCTGGCTGAAAACTTTATCGAAGGCTCGGTTCACGACTGGACACCGCATTGATGACCTCGGAATAGTGAGAACAAGGCCAGCCTGCCTCGAAGGGTTGCCGACCATAGCTCACAAGCCAGGTGTTCAAAGACCGCGTAGTCGGAGGGCTCAAATCCAGAAGCTCTTCAAATGTGATGCTTGTTGGAGCAGCCAATCAGAAAACGCCAGGAGAAGTCTTTCTCGCCTCTTCTGAGTGACCCTCTCAACCGGGTCGGCAAGAGTAACCAGAGTCCGTGCCAGAGACCTCTTGTCATCTGCAACGTGTCGGGGACGAAGGGCAAGGCTATGCATGCCTAAAACCCTGAAACATATAAGAATACCCAGAACACCCTGAAGAAAGGTTCCTGACCAGGATAGCCGAGAGTGGAGTCGAAGGGGCGAGGGGACAAGAGGAATGACCTCCACAAGTCGAGCCCAGTTCGAGACCCAGCGGCGAAGCTTGGGACAGTGCGATCTTGCGAAGAATGCGAAGCAGGCCCGTTGATGGGCTACGACCCTTGGAGCAGGCGTGAAGAGCAACAGCAGCACAGTCCACCAAGATCAGGGGCATGATCGTCTTCAAGCGGCGGCCCACATGCGTGACTAGACTTCGCTGTGCAGCATTCAAGGGCCGTTGGAGCGCAGAAAGAGGGATTGGCACAAAGTTCGAATGCAGGAAATTCAAACACATCCAACGGTTTGGGAGTCTAGGAGTCGAAGGGTCTAGGATTCAAGGTTTAAGGGTGTCCAAGCGTGTAGTGGGCTGAGTTTAAGCGTCTAGAATTCAAGATTTAAGGGTCAAACGCTCCAAGGACCCAAGCGCCTAAGTGGCTAAGCCTCTCAACGTGAAAGAGTTTAAGGGTCTAAGGGTCTCGGATTCAAGATGTAAGGGTTTAAGGCTTTAAGGGTCCCAGCGTCTGTGGCTAAGACGCTAAAGGTCTACGTCTAAGGGTCTAAGATACAAGACCAAAGGGTTTGAGCCTCTGAGGGTCAAAGCGTCTAAGTGGCTAAGTCTTATTTAAACGTCTAGGGTTTAAGGATCAACATCTAAGGGTCTAAGCCTCTGAAGATCAGAGCGTCTAAGCGGCTAAGCCCTTAACTAGGGGTTTAAGGGTCTAACATTAATGCCCAAGGCTCTGGGTAAGCATGTAGAAGTCATACATACATACATACATACAAAACACATGCACATACATACATACATACATACATACATACATACATACATACGTACGCACAAACACACACACACACACACACAAATACGTACGTACATACATACATACATACAAAAAACATGCACATATCCACATACAAAAAACATCCACATACATACATCTTCTTCCAGACGCAGCGAGAAGTCCGTACTCGCCTAGGTACATGGCAAGGCGCAGGTGGCCCCGGCGCTTGTATGAGCGCGCACTTTTAGTGCCCCCCCTACCAGCATACTCGGTCGCTGACGACAGCGAGCATGCAGGTACATCAGTAACACATGTGACATGCCCTCTCAAAGGGCCGCAGCTGGGCCTGAGTCCAATAGACACCATACCAGATAGGCATGTGGCGTGAGCGACGCCAGCTCGTCAAAAGAGATGCTCTGAGCACTTTGGTTATCATCCGTAAGCCAACTTTTCGCTCCGCTGCGAAGCAGTGCCCGGTAGTGCCCTCGCTCAACAGTCGGTCCGAAGTGCAGCGATGCAGCACAGACCTTGTATGGGCACCACCGTACTCGGATATCCGTTGGCGTGCTGAAGACTGGGAGACGGATGACTTCACAGATGTCAGGTAAGGCCTGAGCGTCCTTAATGATGTCACCCCCATCAGTTTGTCGGAATCTGGACAAGTGCAGACAGATGAGTGCTGGGGGATCGCCTGACAGTGCCGAGCGATAATGGCTGGAGTGCCAGGCCTGTATGCAATGCTGCAGCCCCGGGCCTCCTCAGGGAGATCAACGGTGATAGGGACTACCGTGGTGGAGCTGTCACATATGACAGCGCCAGCATCTTCCAGCCTCCGCAGTTGCCAGTTCCCCCTGACAGCAGAGAGCCCCAACCTGGGCATAAGGTGCACAAGGCGGCGCGGCTGGGACCACGACCCCAAAAGCATGGTCCAGACCACATACATACATACATACGTACATACAGGCATACATACGTACGTACGCACAAACACACACACACATGCATACGTACATACATACATACATACATACATACATACACACATACATACAATCATACATGCACCATGACATGGGCCAGGCACCACATTGTGTAGCCAATCTCTCTCTGGCCAGCGTAGCCTCCGAATCTCTCCAGGTACTCGAACCCACATAGTTCGAAGAGCCGGAGGCGGACAGGTCTCCCAAACCCCCGTCCTGTTGGGACACCAAGTGTGAAACGCGGCTGGAGAGGGCCTGGCTTTGCTGAAGCAATGCCTCTTGGAAAGAGTCCTGTCCAGCACGCTGAAGTGCCAGTGCTTGGTGAGGGCGGGTCCTCGCAGCAGGGCCCGTCAGTGCAGCAAGCTTGGCCACTGGTGGAAAGGTTGCTGGCTTCGGCTGGGCTGGAGTGAATGGGCAGGGCCCCAGACTGGACGTCTGTCGTTGCGTCATGCTGCACAGTTGCTCGATCAGCTGGTGTAACACTGCGGCCAGCTGGCCTCTGCAAGGTCGGAGGTGGTCACACGCTTGTTTGCAACGGCACGCTTGGCTTTTGCCTTGGCCTGCTGGCCTGCCACATCCACATCGGCAGGAGCCTCCTCGGTAGGGGCCTCCTCCACCGCAGAGTAAAAGCAAGGTCTCTGGCTGATGGAGGCGGAAACGAAAGATATTCTCCGACATCAGGTCCTACCCCAAGTGCCGAAGGAGGCAGAACAGCCCCTTCCAGCTCCAACGGCTGCTCCACAGCTTGCTCGTCCGAGGTCCCGAAGACCAAGAAGACCAAGGTGACCTGGGTCGAAGGCCCAAGCAAGGAGGATGCATCCGAATCCTTTCCTTCGTAGAGGGCTGCAAGAGACAAAAACCCGCGCGGAATGCACAGAACAAGGATGGCAATGGTCTCAGATGGCAATGGCACCGGAGCTGCACAGGTGTCCTCGGGCCAGGAAAGGGCCAGGCTCCGACAGCACTTCGAAAGAATTCAAATCGATGTAAAACCTTGGCATAAGTCAAGACGGTAGCCGAGAGCCTGGGAGTTGGGACTGAGTCCAACAGAACTTGTCGAGCCCACTGCCCGGCGACCAAGCACGCGACCCGCCCCCAGTGAGAGCACGGCAACAGCGCGGGCAGCGAGCAGTCAGAAGAGAAAAACTCGCTTCCAAGCAATTGTAGCGGCAGTGAGAGGTAAGCTCACCAGGTGTGAGCTCGGAATAATGCACCAAGGGGGGGCCAGGGAGCCGCACGGGAACCAGGTTCAACCCAACCTTTGCCAGAAGCACTAGGGGCGGAGGGCCGGATTGCCAAGAAGAGCTGCAAGATCAGGCTCACTCATGCACGGAGGCGCAGGTTTGAACGGCGAGGAGCAAGTGCAGGTGAAGGAGGATTGAGAGGTGCTTCCTGGAAAGGAACCTTGAAAAGGGAATCCCGAAAGAAGCCCAAAGTCAAGACAACCCCCACCGACTCACCGAATCCAAAGCGAAGAAAATGAAAAAGCAAGGATCCCGAACCGTGACTATGGGGCAACCGAGCCCCCACCAGTTCGAAGAAACCTCAGCAGAAACAAGCCCAGGGCTCGCTCGATCCACATGCTTGAGCAAGCGGCATATGCGCTCCCTCATACCTAGACGGTCAATGCTGATACTGATCGGGTAGAGTTGGACTTGGAAGAAACGCCTACTCGATGGGCCGACACGATGAGAGAGGGGTGTCAGTGTATGCGGATGGCCTGAAGGATGCCCTCTTTCGAAGCTCCTCAATGCTCTTTGCACAAGTGCAGCAAATTCAGGAAACAGCAAGTCTCAGTGACTCAGTCCAGCGCCGAGTTGTTGCAGTTCCCGCAGCTCCAAGCGCAAATCCCTTGCAAGCGCCTGCCACAATCCAGCACTCTGTCTGAAGTTTGAGACTACAGACCAGAAGCTTGCGCCTGCCGAGCTGAGTCCAAGGTAACGTCGGATCCAAAAACAACAGTCCTAAGTTTCTGAAGGATTCTGATGCCGCTGAGACCACGGCTCAATTCAGCTTGATGGAATGATGCCGTCAGCGCACATGCTTAAGCTGCGCAATGCGTGGGCCAACTGCTCGTGTCTGGCAGTCTTCCTTTTTGTCCGACACTGTCGGGCACAACGCATCCAATACAACGAGAGGGATGACTTGCCTGACACCGAATCGCTGCACGAAGCCTCCACTCTTCACCATCTAAGCTCCGCTCTCATCCGCTTCAGACCAGGGTAGGGAAGCATTTCAGAAACAGCAGGGAAGAAGACGCCGAGCTTGGGATTTGAACAGCATTGGCACCTTCTAACCATTCGGCGGCAGAAGCTATTTTGCATCACCTTTCTTGGCCCAGCATACGATTTCGACAGGTGTTGCGAGATCGCAGCAGCAGTTCAATCTGCCAGACCGACATAACCGCATGAGCAACTAGCAGAACCATGGCTTGGAAACAGCCGGAATTGTCGAGCAAGGACCTTTGCTTCAATCCAGCGTATCGAGAAGAGAACTCGCAGAGACGTCGTGTGATGCCCCTGCTTGAGGGTCAAGCTGCTTCTTCAAGGCTGGCATCGGCACTGACAAGGGTGATGAATGTGATTTTGCGGGCTCGCTTGATTGCAGGATGTCGGCCATCTGTGCCATTTTTTGCTCTAGAGGTAGTTCGGGATCAATGCTGTAGAACGCTGCCAACTTACTCGGATCAGCGGTAATGTTCTGAAAAGCTCGGGACCCTGAAGCTGATTGAACTTGTCGATGACTCATCATGGACTTGTAACCTTCTGCAGCATCCGCATCAAAAACCCCAGCTACATCCAAGCAGTTTTCAAACAAGGTGGTCAGGGGCGTCAGCGAAACTGCTGAGGAGTTTTGGAGCACATCGATGAAGTCCCGCAACAGCAGAAGGCCCAAGACATAGTGTAGTGCTGTCCAATAAGCTATATGAAATCTAGGAACCAGCATCTGCACATGCTGTACATGCATGGATACCATCTTCACCAACCGCTCGAAGATTTCGGATTTGACCTCCGACGACATTGCCGCAGACTTCCAGAGAAGGAGCGATCCGATTGGGATAGCAATAAGCAACGCTTCCTGGATCGCATAATGGCCCGGAGCCAAGTGTGGAAGCCTTCCGGCCTGCATCCATTTGTCAATAAAGTCTTGGAACTTTCTGAATGCGGATAGCAATTCTTGGGCCGATGCCAGTTGTCGCGCTTCTGGATTATCAAACTGTGCGCGAAGCCCGTGAAGATCTGCCCTTTCGTGCATCCAGCTGTCTGCTGAAAACTGTCCAGCGGCAGGCTGCGCGGACCCTGTACAAAATCTTCGATGTGCCTGCCATCCTTGCCGCTGGCACGAGCGTGAACAGAAGTATACGAGTTTACATCCACTGCACCTGTGCAGATCTTTCACGGCACTGAGACTACGCACGTTGTCTAGCAATAACTCACTTTCGTGCTCGCGACCACGCAGCAAAGTCTTGAGAATTAAAGTTTTGCCCCCTCGGACTTCCTGTGTGATTCCCATGGCTCCCGCCAGCTCGCGGTGGCGAAGTATTTGCACTGCATCACCGGAGCGTATATTTGATGCTGCGCTGTTGCAAGCCTGACACCTGGGGTTCCATCTTTCCAGCGAAAGCTGCAAGCCTATGTCGGCCAGCTCTGGCTGTTCTGCTTCTAGACGGCCTCGGCATTCAGACATGGAACAATTGCAACGCACGTCGGACTTAGAACAATCCAAGAACCCAACAGCAACCTCGCCACAACAAACTACAAGCAAGCACCGCTCACTGCGAAGTGTTCTATATATCTGTCATTGGCTTGTCTTTCCGTGTTCTTGTCTGTAGTTTCTGGCATCGAGCCGCTCTTTATCTGAATTCATTTCCGACTTGATTTTGGTGGTCGCATCGGGTAGCTTTAGCTTCATTTGTGGCTGCATAGCTGGTTTGTGGCTGCATAACTGATGCATGTCGCATCAATTCCTGCATCATGCATTTTCGTCATTTCCTTCTCCGTTTCTGGCTCAAACCTTTATGCATTTGTGCCAGTACCGGCTTCTTTTCGGAATCATTTCCGTGTTCGTGCCAGTTCCTTCCCACTGCATACAGTACTTCATGCATGCCCGGTTTTTCGTCCACGTTTCTGCATTCGTTTGTTCGTATCTTCTGTTTCTGGCTTCATTAAGCTGGAAATAACAAATTTTCATGAATTTTGCATGGCCGGAAATCAAGCCAGAAATAACCCGACACCAGCACGGAAATGCCGGAGCTGCCCCCTACCCGAGACTGGAGACGAGCATGGACAAACAACACGTGAAGCAGTACATGTCGAAAATGAATTGGGGCTTCATTGTGCTTGTGGAATTCACGCATTTCCGTCATTTGCGGCTCCATTCCCCTTTCCTTTCCGTGTCGTATCGAACGTGTCCTGCTTCATTTCTGCGTTCATGTCCTGGCATGGTTCGCATGCATCATCGGCGCATGTTGTTCGCTGCTGCGTAATTGTCGCATCGCCGTCATCTCCGCTTTGGAGTCAGGCATGCTAAATTTCCTTTCGGCAAAATTTGAAAAGAGTCGTTTGTGGCTGAAACCTTTTTCTCACAGACGATATTTGTAGCTGCCGAACCAAGACACAGCGAGAGCAGCCACATCGGCCGCCGCAATGCGAACGAATGCGTGCTTCTCTGGCCCGTGGTTCCGCAAAAAGTTCGTGATAGGAGACTCGCAGAGGCTCCCCTGCCTGGCCGGGTTCTTAGAGTCCTAGCTGTCCTAGCTCCTTAGCCTCTAAGGTGCCTGGATATCCCGTATAGCAATGAGCTTCACTTCGAGATCGTCGTTGATCGGGCGGTCCCCGGTGCTCAGGATAGAAAAGCCTTAGCTGAACTGCTTCCGATTTTGCCATCCCATGCCGATGATCGTGCGCTTGTTATTGACTGGAAGTAGCAAACGTTCTCCTCCATGCTGGCAGCGCAGGCATGGTTCAGCATCGAGAAAGCATTGAAGCCTCGGTTGCCAGGGCCGGTCGGGCCGGGGCAGTCCGCAGCCGCCAGAACGAGACCGGAAGGCCCGGGCCAGGGACGGAGGGAGAACACGGACGCCGAACGTCGAGTCGACACCCCTAAGGCAAAGCCCGAGGCCCTGTTCCGAGCTAGCATTTTCTCAAGCTTCATAGAACTAGCACGGATTGCCTGCTGCATGCTTTCTCATAGTTCCCTTCCTTCCGCCTGATTCGTGCTGTCCACAGCCTTACAAGTCGTTTGCTGATGCCTCAAAATGATACTACAAAACCGACTGCCCCAACTTTTTGCTCTCGTCAACATCAGCCGGAGTAGCTCACGTGCCCTGAAATATTAGTATGAATCCGGCACATGCCTTCGTCGGGCAAGAGACTTTGGGAAGAAGCTACTCTTCAGGCCGCTCGCATACCTCCGCCCCCAGCTCACACCCACCCATGTTTCTGCCTGAGCATCCTTCCCGCACGGAGTCCAGAGCTACACACGGCCTCAAACAGGACCGTTTCTATCTGATGCTTCGTAGCCCCATTCCCACACTCTCGTATGTGCCCTGTGGAGGACTCACCCAGAAGTCAAGAGATAAACTGCGGCGACCGTCTGGGAACTAAACATGCATGCAGGTGATGCTACGAGTATTGAGTATGACTAACAGACCTCTGACAGTAATCGGTGTTCCTGGATCTTCTGGGAGCCTGGCCAACCACTTTGCCTCGCAGGGAGACAGGAGCAAGGTATTGCCCTATATATGATCCCGGTTCGGCCGCCCCCCCCCCTCCCCCCCCCCCAATGGTTCCTCCTGCCCTCTGTGATGTGGTGTGGTTGTGGGTTGCTTCCCCCTCCCTGTGGTGTGGTGTGGTGTGGTTCGGGAGTGGGTCTGCTTAGGCTGGTTACCCCACTCCCCCCTGTGGTGTGGTGTGGTTTGGGTTTCCTGCGTGGGTCTGCTTGGCGTGTGAGCCCTCGTGTGGAAAAAGCTTGCACAGTCACACACAGATTCGGCTTGGGGAGCGGGGGGGTGAATACCATTTGGGGGGGGGGGGGGGGGCGTCGGTGAACCGAGAACCGGGATCATATATGCCCCCACCTGAAGCATGTTTTACTCCCTGAACCTCCTCTTGGTGCCTGCGGGTTTGGTGCTAGAAGACTAACCTCAAGTCATGCGAAGTCAACCGAAAAAAGGTTTTAGTCGAGGTTTGGCAAAAAACAAACCGACCCTTGTTGTAGGCCCGTTTCAACACAGGAACCCTGGATCACTGTCAAACTATCCTGTCAGAACACCCAAATGCTGAGCAAGTGCATGCACGTGCGGGACATTACGCTTGCCGTGAGCGCCTTGGAACAAAAAACTGTTCGTCTCAGCTTCCAGAATGAATGGCTGGTCTGCAAGTTCGGGATTGACCTCGGGCGGCGTGCACTGGATCGCGCGGGCCGGAACCATTCGCGAAATGATGGCACAGTATGGACGGGTTCAGTTCGTCGAACCAGTTATGCTTTGAAGGACTCGAATGCGTGCCAGAATACGGATTGCTCAACGAGTGCTCATTTGTCCTGAACCAACCTACCTTTTGAAAACTGGTTAGACTTGTTGCGACACCCCCCACACCAGAGCTGGCCGTGCCTCAGCTGCCGCCAAATTGTCAGCACCTGTGAGGATCACACTTTGCTCGTGTGCAATCCTTAGGTCCATCTACTGCTGAAGCCGTGGTGAAAAAGTGTGGTTTGGTTGGCATCTAAAAAGCAAATTGTGTGCACCTAGTCATATCATGCGGTGCAATCGCCGTTCACGGTGCTATTCAAAACTGTGCCCAGAACACCCTCATCTGGCGAAGACTGTGACATTGTCGTACGATGCCACGGACAGACAGACAACGGTCCCGGTAGTATGCTTCTCAAATCTGGTCATACATCGTTTGAGACAATCCGCCGGTCCTTTTGTCACTTGTCAGCAGCCTGCTCCAGTTGTACGAGGTATGTACAGTATGCTGGATGAGAATAAGAAACAATCAGGAAGTGACCTGAAGCCTGAAGCCTACGTTAATGCCATGCACTGCACGGGCATAGAACCGAAAGCAATCTCGGAAGCATGTTGAATATACCCAGGACGCTGCAAGATAACACGAGGATTATAGTTAAGTTTTCCGATGCTGTCCGGAGGTGGAGAATACATTTAAGCTTTCCAACAGGGGGCTAGAGACTACCATCTTTTACAGGGGCAAAAGCCTCAATGAGGCTCAGCCGTTGGTTTAACCCCCGGTGCACTGCAGGAATGCGCATCTAGTCGTCTTCACTTTCCATCGTATCCACGCTGAATACTTTGTCACTTCCACGTCCGCGATGGGAGTCGTCCCTTCCGTAGGGTTGCTTTGGAGCCTTGGAGCCGGTGCTGTGCGGCTGTGCCCGGCTGTGCCTTTGGTTTCTGTGGATCCGCTGTTGGACCTATGATTTCAGGCCGCTGATCTGTATGACGTGCGCGTTAAAATCTGTCCGCTGTCTGCGATGTGATCTAGCGAGTCTACCGTGAAGCGCCCGGCCTCGAAGCAGCGCAAAATCATGAGGGTGCTTTGTCATAGCAGCAGACAGTTCGGCCACACTTCGCCGGACAATGGGCTTCTCCCCCAGCAGAACCTTAGGTACGGCACACTCCGCAGAAACATGCCATCTTTCTCCCTCCCACCTCATGATCCCCAACTTCCCAGCTGATCACCCCAAGGCATCCAAATCGACGGACACTTGCTCTGTACAATACCCAGAAACGGCACCCTCTTCTCCCCAGAGAGCTGTGCGGGAAGTCAGCCGGACAGCGAAGCCAGTCCCGTAGATAATTACATGGTTTACTGAAGCTTCTCAGGCATCTTTCTAAATATACTTGACATCGGACCACATAGCGTGTACTCTTGGTTGCTGTCAAGTCACGGATCCCGCTTCGAAGCATCTCTCTGCTGCCAGGCATCGGCCCTGGAGCAATCTGCTTATGTGCATTAACTTCGGAGATGGAAGGCTGTGCTGCTGCTGTTCATTCCGAGGATCTTCATGCTCGGATAGATGCGCCAAGCGGAGGCCAGCACGCTCAATCTCTGGCAGGCCAGCAGGCATTCTATACAGTGCATCAGGTACAGTGTTGTAAAGTATGTCCGCAGTCTTAGTGCGGCATCTGCACAGCTCTGGCTTGAAGAAAGAGGTTCTGCAGACGAGTTCAGGGTAGAGTGGGGGCGGGCAATGCGATCCGCATGGGGGGCTGAGAATCGAGAAAGAATGCATGCTCCAGCTATGAGATGCAAGCTTTAGGTTCCACTTCTTCTTGATCTTCATGAGGTCCTGGCTGAAAGGCTGAAAGCATGCGACAGCCGACGTGTCGCCACTCCCTAGCAGGTTGCATCCATCACGGCCTGCTTTCTGGCAGATCGCGCCAGCTCAGACTCAAGGGCATTCAAGTCCTGTCAGGGATCGTGTCCACAAGCTGCCCTCCAGTCTTGAACCGGTTGTTGGATTGAGACCGGCCAGCCTTCTCCATACCCTGTGACTTGGAGAGAACCACTCTGTTCAAGCTCAGCTTGTCGATCGACTCCCTGGCCTACCGCGTGATGCGCGTGTGCGCGAGTGTGACTCCCTCCCCCCGCTCCAACCGGCGTACTTCCAACGCCCGGCAAAACCAACACCTCCCAACCGCTCCCTCGTCCCCTCCAACTATTCTCCCGATTCGCCCCCCCCCCCCCAACGCCCCAACACATCCAACACTGCCAATGACGCCAACAGCGGCAGCGGCGACAACAACAACGACGACGACGTCATCATCGACATCATCGTCAACATCAACATCAGCCTCGGCATCCACATCAGCATCAGCATAACAACAGCCACAGCAACAGCGACAGCAACGGCGACAGCACCAGCACCAACACCAGTACCAACACCGTTGCCAACACCAACAACACCACCATCACAACGACGACGGCCAACAACAACAACAACAACAACAGCTACAACACACTGCACCCATCTGCCAGAAACATGAACATGGCTCTGCACAATGTCACCTGCGAGGAGTTGCAGCGCCGCAGATGCCGCCATAGCTGCCTTGTCACCGTGTGGTGTCAAATCCAACCATTCCCACCCAACAGCAAGCCGTAAGCACCACGACATAGCTGTTTCCTTTCGCGCTAATTGATCACGAAGTCGTGTCTGTAGGTGACAGCCGGCTCTTGTCATGAAGTCCGTGAAACGTTGAACAAACGCAAATGCCAGCGACAGTGTGCAGCTACAGTATCCTGATGCAGCCTTCATGCCTGAACAACCCCTGACCCGGCCCCAGAAAGCAAAGACAAGAACAATGCTTGGCCCTTCTCGGCCTCTGGAAGGGCTTTGCCTTCACCAGCATGGCTTTGATGATAAGTTTCAGTTTCACGACGATGAATTCCACAGTCTCATGGACGACGTATGCCATGTTCTGACGTCAGGGTGGTCTTCTAACAGGCTCATGGCTTCGGGAAACCGTCAATGTTGCAACTGCCAGCTCACACGATGAATGCTATTGACTACAAGATTAGACTGCTTGCAAAGGAAGCATCATTTTGACAACTGATGTGGGTCTGGAGACACCGATGCTGACTCCGGAGATTGGTCAGGTGTGAGCAAGGTACACGAAATGAACGCGCTGGTAGCATCGACTTCGCGTTGTTCTCACACGGGAAAACATCAGAAGACCAAAATCCCACTTTCGTGCACCCTGGTGCTTGCGCACCGCTGACTAAGACACGTAGCCCTGTAGCCACAGAATGTGAGAGTTGCGTCATCCAACCACTAAAGGTCTCACACAACTGCGGGCTGCTTTGCAGCTGCAAAGGACGGGAAAACAGGCACAAGACGAAATCAAAGGTTGGCTTCGCCAAGCGTTGCACACCCTTGATATGCCTTAGTGCCAGGATACAGTGGAATGATGGTCCACAGAACTATGGCATGGCGGCATGTGCACCGTCTCCAGCTTTGACCACACCTCCATTGTCTCCCCTATAGCGTCAGTCCGAAGATCGTCGGAACCATCAGCAAGAAATTTAACGTTCTCAAGAAATGAGTCCGCTCTTCGCATTGCGACGAGCACTAACAAGAAATGTCAAGAATGCAGCTAATGAGAGGACCTCCCATCAGAATTTGGCATCCCAGTCGTCGGCCGGATCTGCATCGTATGGGATGAACAAGCCTTGCAACATTGAGATTGTTGACGTTGCCAGTTGGCAGCACGTGCAAGACAAAAACTCAACTCTCACAGGTGAGAACATGCGAAGACGGGTCGGAGAAAGCCTGCGACGGAGCAGTGTGCAAGGACAAGACTGATCTTACGGCCAGGTCTCTGTCTGATGTGTCCAGCCCCAGTTGCCCGCGATCTAGCCCAAAGTCATCCGTGAAGAAGTGCTCTGGATAGCCTGCCATCACAAAACTTACGGAAGCACTTCAAGCTTGGAACTTAGAGATACTCTTCAGTATATCATCGACGCTTGCGGTCACGATCGCTGCACAGCAGACTCGGCATCATCAGTAGAATAATGGCCGTAGCACGGGTGCCCCATCATACTCGCAATACCGGACTCTTGTAATCCAGGGTTGACAGCGGCAGCAAACCCTGTCAGACTAACTCAATGGCGATGTTCTCTCTCCGAGCAAATCCAAAAACAAACTTTGACTCGCCACAGAAAGCCAGTCCTGACCGTCTCCTGCCCTTTTTCGGGCAGCCGCAATGGCATTGCGTTCCAAACCAGAGTAACAGCTGTCCGTTCTAAACTGCTCAGTCTCTCCGGATGACGTTGGTTCTTCACCCGAAGGAAGAAAGCACCGAAGAAGGCACCCGCAAACTACGGGCTAAGATGCCAGGCCACTCCACTGCTTGTGGAACGGAGTCGGGAGCTTCTGCTCGTGGAAAGCTTTAAAATCGAAAGCGAGGGTCCTTGCAATTGGCTCAAGACTCAAAACCACTCTTTTTCTTGAACTCACAGCCTCCGAAAACTTCCGGAAATGTCCTGAACATGGCATGGTCTCGAACGTCTTGGGCTCCGCCTCGTCCAGCTCCGAGGCGCTCGTGTGGCCTCCCATAGACCACTTGGGGCGGGGCCGCTGGGACTCTTCCCACCGGGGCTCAAGTCGCGAGCATGACCCTGAGGAGCTCGCCGGATCTGCAGCAGCTGGGCAACAAAGCCTCTAGCACTCTAGCAGACTCTAGCAGGACCAGCACCACTTCGGCTCTCACAAACCACTCACACCAGAGAAGGCCAGGAACCCTTCGCGACTTGTGGGAAGTGAAAAGGATATTGAAGTGGCCCTTGCTCCTTGCACGTGACTCACCGCAGAATGTCAGCGAGTCAGCGCTGCCGTGTTCATGCTAGTGGGAAAAAACCTGGCAGCGATTCTCAATGATCTCCTGGCTGCGCCGGATCGCAAGCAGCCTCTCCATAGGGTCCGAAACGCCCTCATCGGTAAAAGGCGTATGCCCACTCAAGATCCTGGGATCAGAGCGTGTTCCAGGCTTCAGCCCGCGCAAGCAAGTAACGGACTCGGCACATTTTCATGCTGCACCAATATGGACAGGCATCTCGTAAGTAAGAACTCCTAGTGCCCACCAGTCAACGCTGCTGTTGTGTGTATGAGGAAAGTCAATGACTTCCTCGGCTGAGCATCGCGACATTGCATCCACCATGTTCCAGACTTCACCCAGCAAAAACCATTGCACGACATGCCAAAGCTAACAAATGGAGCGGCTGGTGCCATATAGTCAGGTGTTCCGACCTACGAGACACCCGGAATGCAGCAATGCACACTGCGCATACATCCAAGAAAACTTGTCTGTCTGTTCTTGTGGCAGACGAAGATGCAACAGGCTCGCTAAGCTTGCGACAAGGGTATTTGTCTTGCTGAGCACAAAACGCGCAAAACCCATGTCACAGACCTTGCGCGAATACATCTCTATGAACGGTGCAATGCTCAGTGTCCATCCTGCAAGACTGATGAAACACGAATGCTGTCTGTCTGCTCCCCCTGACAAGCTCGGAAGCCTGAGTCCCAAGCCTTAGCATATCCATGCTCGTCCAGTAATGCATTTTCTGGTTTGATGTCACCTGACTAGTTCTGGAGGCCGGACCGGCCAGACTTATCTCGGATCCAAACGAGGCTTGGACGGTGGACAATTCGACGTTCGTGCAGGTGCTCGAGCGCCTTCGCTGAACCGTGCGGCTGAGATGTCTGCAGGGGCTTTTCCACTTGTCGCGAACACGACAGCAATACTCTGAGGGCGCGACAGCAATAACACAGGCTGCATAGAAGGCTCCAGAGTGGCCTGGAAGCATGACTCACGAAACATGTCAATTTTGCTAGCCGGTCAAGTCAGATAAACAAGGTCTTGTGTGCCTGTGACAGTATGGACAATATCCGGATTGCCTAGTGTATGTTGCGGGATTTGTCGCTGTTGGCCCGTGTGTTTTGAGGTCACACACGGACGTTCATGGGCGCAGGCTCGCCTGTGCAATCAAAGCATGCGCAAAATGGTGTACGAGTCTTACTAGTAACGCATGTAAATGTAAATCGCAAAACATCTGGCATGACGATTCATTTGCTACACAGAAGCTAGATCGCTAACGTTGATGTCGTTACTCGTGCGTCTTTCTTGCGTCCTCGCTTTCCCGAATCTGTCTTCTGCTGGAGCTGCAAGCTACCACCATAGACCGAGGATTCGATTCCAGATTGCACAGCGAGCTAAGACAGCTAAGACCTAAGCATTTCAGACTGCGATTCTGGCGGCCGCTTGACCTTTGCACATAACATGTTTTATTTACAGCTGAAATCGAACTCTAAGCTTATCCATTGCTTCCAAAATCCTGAACTGTATGTGCATCTACCTATCTATTAATCTATCTATCTCTCTGTCCATCTGTCAAACGATTGTTCGATGAAGCTTCCGTCTTGAAGGTCCGTTTGATACAATGTTAACCGTTCCTGCGACATTGTCCCTGTGCGTGTCGTGGCTGTCGCAATAATCCATGCCGGCGGTTTGAGCTGCCAACAGGGGAAAACACGAAGCGAAGGAGGGAGATTGTGGACCAGAAACCTGGATGCAAAAGCTCCAATGCCTCGGGGCGCATCCTGCACGAAAATCTCTGGGTGGTCTTTGACCACCTGGCGACAAGCAATTGGAATGACACAATCCCCGAAATCTGCAAATGTACTCGCCTGAACCAAGCTACCACCCAGCGCTGCTTCCAAGAGGAAGTAGACGTGTTGAGCATCCTTGTACGTCCTTTGATTCTCGAAGCAAGAAGCATCACATATCTTGCACATCGTCTCGGGCACCCTACAACAACACCCATTCCCACAAACATTGATTGTATGCTTTTGGTTGGGGTGTGATAGATAGATTAGGCTGCATCCTCCTAAAATCAACCTCAGAAAACAGCTCGTGTGTATGCAGCACACCTAACACCCTGTGTTTATGGAGTGGCTGGTAAAGGGGTCTTTCCAGATTAGGCAGCGAAC